CTGAACTAACAAGCAAAATAGAGGCAGATTCATAATAGAGAGCAGGCTGACAGCTAAGGGGGGAGGGTAGGGAGTAGAGGGATGGAGCAAAAAGGAAAAAGAACTCATGGATGGACAACAGTGTGGTGATTGCTGGGGGTATGGAGGTATAAAGGGACTAAATAGTAATGAAAAAATTACAATAAAGATTAAATTTTAAAAAGTAAAAAGTAAAACCAAAAAATAAGTAGTATGAGTTTTTACATATCTTGGTATCAGTCATTGTCAAGTCTGTTTTGTAAATACTTTCTCTCAGCTTGTGGTTTTCATGTATTCTTTTTTTATTTTTATTTTTACATTTCCTTCACCAGATTGGGAAAGTTTTTCTTCATTGTTTTTTCAAATAGGTTTTCAATTTCTTGCTCTTCCTTAAAGAATCTTAAAAGCAGCAAGAGAAAAGCAGATAGTCACTTACAAAGGAGTTCCCATAAGACTGTCAGCTGATTTCTCAAAAGAAACTTTGCTGGCTAGAAGGGATTGGCAAGAAATATTCAAAGTCATGAAAAGCAGGGACCTATAGCCAAGATTGCTCTACCCAACAAAGCTACCATTTAGAATTAAAGGGCAGATAAAGAGCTTAGCAGACAAGAAAAAACTAAAGAAGTTCATCATCATCAAACTATTATTATATGAAATGTTAAAGGAACTTTTTTTAAAAAAAAGATCAAAACTATAAACAATAAAATGGCAAAAATACATATCTAGCAACAATTGAATCTAAAAAACAAACAAAGCAAACAAGAACAGAGGCAGAATCATGGAGATGGAGAGTGTTTTGATGGTTGCCAGATGGGATGGGTGTGTGGGGAAATAGGTGAAGAGGTGAGGGGATTAAGAAGTACAAATAGGTAGTTACAGAATAGACACAGGGATATAAAGTGTAGTATATGAAATGGAGTAGCCTAAGAACTTACACATATAACCCATGGACATGAACAACAGTGGGAGAATTGCCTGAAGAAGTGGGGAGCTGGGTGGAGGGGGCACAGGGGGAAAAATCAGGACTACTGTAATAGCATAATAAATAGAACATATTTTTATAAAGAATTTATATGCATGACCCATGGACATGAACTAAGGAGTGGGTTGCTGGAGGGAATGAGGGGTACTGGGTAGAAGAGGGCAAAGAGGGAAAATTGGGACAATTGTAATAGCATGGTCAATAAAATATATTTTAAAAAACAGTAAAAAAAGGAAGTTCTTCCATATGTCTATGAATTTTTTTCTAAATATTATACATTTTATAAGAAAAATGACAGTTTGTGATTACACCATTTCCAGGCTTAGTGTAACATGATATTTCACAAGTGCTGTTTTGACCCAGTTTGGATGTCATCACTAAAACTCTCAGTTTCCCTTTGCTGGCAATATGTCAACCCCAAAGCCCAGCTACTTTCTTTATCAGGCTCTAACACTCCTGGGTTACGATGTACACATACCCAGCTGCCAGAGGCCCCAGATACCTACACCCAAGGACAGCCTCTTCTTCCTTAGACCTACTGAATTGCTTAAAATACCCAACCTCCAGGAAGCCTGTGAAACCTAGCTGACTTCATTCTAGCTAACTCCATTCTGTTGGCCACACCTAAGTGCCTCCTGCAGTTCCAGCTGTACTGCTACCCTGTCCTTGGGTGCATCTCCCTGCTTGTCCCTGCCTGACAGCTTTCTCTGGCTTGGAGCTGTAAGTAACAAGAGAGTTCTGCCTTTCATCTGTCTGTTTTTGAGTTGTGTTCCACCATCAAAAAAATCTTTAAATCTTATAAAACATCTGGTCTTACCCTGATTACACCACCAGCTGTCACAGGCAGCTGCCTGTGCTCAGTCCACTATTTTCACTGATCCAAATGATTTCTGCCAAGCAATGCCCACTGCCAACAGCTTGCCTTTGAATAGTGCCTCACAAGTTTTACACCATATGTCCATATTTTTACTTAATTTAGCTCTCACAGCTGCTTTTCAGGAAAAGAAGAGTGACATTAATACCAATTTGATGGGTGAGGTTAAAGCTCTGATCCATCACCCAGAGGCACAGACAGAATTAAAAAACCAACTCTTTTAGTTCTTACTTTAGTGCTATTTCTAGCATAACTTTGTGCCCACTATTTAATCCAGCGGTGTTTTAATTAAAATTTTCCTGCTTAAAGAGTACACAAGAAACTATTACAAGAAACATCTTGTAAGGTTTCTCCTTCCCTCGCTCTCAATATCAAGGACAGTAGGATTTAAGCATAAGCCACAGGACTTCTTAAGGCTTGACACCACCACCATACATTGCCACACATGATTTCAGGGACTCTCAGAGCTCTGGCACTTTTAGAAAGATAGCCACTCTAGCCTTAACTCAGTCCACAACAGGATTGAAAGAAGATCCACAGAGCTCAGCACACTTCTAGTGAGATCATCATTCTACAACACACACACCTCATCTACACAAGCCCAACTGACCTTTACACCTGACCTCACTACTGACTAGCTGACTAAGTGACCAGTTCCAAGAAGGCTATGATTAGAAATGATTATCCACCTCCCCCTGAGAATACTAATTCCAGCATGACCTATATCTCTGCTTACAAAACTCACCACAAGAATCCTTGGCCTCCAGATGATCCTTCATCATAAAGATTTTTACCCTATTATAGTCCTCTATATTGCCTAGTTAGAAATAAACTCTAACCCTCAAAACAACTTCTAACTCCTTCCACTGAGATCTATGGGACTCAGGGTCTGTCATTAACACAATCCCCTTGCTATAGACTGAATGTTTGTGTTCTTGCACCCCTTTTCCCTGCCAAATTCACGTGTTGAAACCTAACCCTCAAAGTAAAGGCCTTCGGAAGTGGGGCCTTCAGGAGGTGATCAAATCTTGAAGGCAAAACCCTCAGGAATGGGATTAGTGCCCTCAGTAAAAGAGATTCCAGAGAGCTCCCTCACCCCTTCCACCATGTGAGGACACAGTGAGAAGAAAGCAGGTTCTCATTAGACACTGAATCTGTCAGCACCTTGATCTTAGAGTTCTTAGAACTGTGAGAACCAAATGTTCATTGTTTATACGACACCCAGTCTATGGTATTGCATTACAGCAGCCCGAACAAACTAAGACAGTCCTATATCCTGCAACCTCCTTTGATAGGTGTTTCTTTCACCCCTTTATCTAACTGAAACCTGGCTACCCCTTGAGGACCAAGCACACTTCCCTTGCAGTTCTCTCTAGCGACTTGCCTTGCGGTCCTTCGGCTCACTCCATTCCAACCAATCAGTCTACCTCCCTGAGACTAAGGAATACAGTTTCTCTTACAACTGACATACCAATGCTTTCCAAACATTAAATTGCAACCCATTAGTGTGTAATAAATAGAATACTTTAAAAATAAAGTAATAAAATAGAAAACAACAGCATATACTGCATGTAGTTAAGGTGTATATTGTTTCAGGAAAGTCTTTTTCTATTATATAAATGATTGATTTCATACATTTATATATAATATTTATAATTAATATGTAATAAATATATATTTATGTCGGGGGACTCCTTCCACAGGGCTCCCCCATCCACCTTGAATGAGAGTAAGTCTACCAAGACAGGATCTGCTTGGGGAAGAAAGGTGGCCTATCTCTAAAGGAGAAGGGCCAGGAGCCTTTCCCTCAATGGGCTTTTACTGGGTTTATTTGCATAGAAATACAGGGCATATACATAAAGCTCATCAATTATTGTCAGGCAGTACTGATCAAACAGTGGGCAGAGGCGGTGCCCCTGCCAGGGGGATAAGCTTTGTCTCCTCAGTGGCTTATTGTCCCAAGGTCTTTTTACTCAGCCTTAGCCTTACAGTTCATAGCTTCTGAAACCAGGCAGGGTGGTTCCCAACATATTTACATATATATTTGTAAATATATATGTATATATAATATATAATATATAATTTGTATATAAATATATTTAAAATCAATCTTATATAAATATATAAAAGCTGACAGGCAAGAGACCAAATCTCTTAAGGGTTTTTTCCTTCCTTCTTCCCTCCCTCCCTCCTCCTCCTCTTTTTCTTTCTTTCTCTCTTTCTCTCTTCTCTCTCTCTCTGCCTCTCTCTCGCTGAAGTTCTGTAGAGAATTTGGAACCTTAAATGTCTGGGAGCTCTTCCTGAGCCCCAGGTAGAACACCGCTGTATCACAAGGAACTCTGTATTCCACATGCTGGAAACTGGCTGTGGGCCCAGTTCATCCCATTCTGTTGTTCTGAACTCTATCAACGGGGCAGCCCTGGACCAAGGATGATATAATAGACCCATTAGGTGTATCATTTTCAGCACTAACTATAGTGACTCCCTATGGCTTGACAAAGCAAATCAAAATCCTTGATCCACTATTCTAATCTCTCTAATGATGTCACTATTTCTTTTTTTCCTCTAATCTAGACACCCTCACATCTCTGTTCTTCATCCCTCGGCATGCCACACAGGACATCCATTCTACCTTCTGATTTTATCCAAGATGCTCCTCCTACATTTTGTCTTCAAAGCTAATCCTGACACGATTCCACAAGAAAGTCTTTAAAAAAATGGAATCATCTGCCTACTACTCATTATATATTTAATTACTCTGCCTTATAATATTATATAGGAGTTTGGACTTGTCCATATTATTACCGTGAAAGATAAGGTACAACTCTGGTGACTGGCACACCAGATTATATGTCTAAGGCCAGGGCTTACTTCCCAATTTTGCCTTTTGGCTCACTTAATGCCCCTGAGCCCATGCTGAGATACTATCTACACCTCACAGTTTGTTAACTGAAAGCTAAAGAGATGGCACATTAAAAGCATAATATAAAAGTGGTTTTAGCCCTGGCTGGCGTAGCTCAGTGGATTGAGCGCGGGCTGGGAACCAAAGTGTCCCAGGTTCGATTCCCAGCCAGGGTACATGCCTGAGTTGCAGGCCATAACCCCCAGCAACTGCACATTGATGTTTCTCTCTCTCTCTCTCTCTCTATCTCCCTCCCTTCCCTCTCTAAAAATAAATAAATAAAATCTTAAAAAAAAATAAATACCACAAATAAAATGAAAAGCATAAAACAAGTATTTGGTGGGTGAAAATCCCACTAATATAAAAAAAAAGTGGTTTACATTTTTTTCCCCAGTGATGTTTAAGACAGGGTCCTGGCATAAAATAGATGTTTATTAAATATTAATGACATACTATGGTGCCACTAGGCCAAAGTTTATTTTACTTCAGTTTTGTTTGCTTTGGATAAAATCTCACACTGGTTTATTTCCCAGAGGAGAGGATGGTCTATGCTGCTTCTCATATCTGCCAGCTGTCCCCAGACATCCCTCTCAAGTAGTCAGGTTTAGGCACTTCATTATGTTCAATTTCATATGGTGTGGCAGAGACAATGCTCAGACCCCATTTCCTTTTCTACTAGAGACACATACTTTACTTCCCAGCCACCCCTGCAGTTAGGTAGGACCATGTGACCATATACCTGAATTCTGGCTAAGTGAATAGGGTGAAACTGATGTATACCATTTCTGGGGCTGGCTCCTGAGATCTCTGACAGTCAACCACATCTCTCCTTCCTTCTCTGAGACCTATAGATTGGATGATTGCAAGGCAACAGGGGTTGGTGGAGTCATAAGACAGAAGCAGACTGTTCCTTCCATGATTGCAAGCAGACACCCCACCCAGTGGCCCCAACCCACCCACCACACAGTGACTTGTATGAAATATAAGCCTTTTTGTGTTGATCCACTGAGATACTGGTATTGTTAGCCTACCCCAATTAACACATCTTGTATTTATCACTGAGGTAACAAATAAAAAGAAGACTTGGACTTAGTTCCAGGACCTGAGGTACAAATCCTGGTTCTACCTCTCCCCCTACATATCCTATGGTCTGCTCTAGAACACCTGCTGTACCCTTTCCCAACTGCGTGTCTAGCACATTCTGTTCTTTCTTATAATGGAGGCATCTGCACTCTTCTGCCTCAAGGCTTCTGTGAGATCTTCTCTGACTTCCCTCCTATATGTGTTCACTTCTTTGCTCCTAGTACAAAATATTCCTCCATTTTAGCATCCATTACAGTTTATTGCAAATATTTCTTGACGTCTGTTCCACAGACTGAGTCCTTAAATCCACAGACACTTCCTTTGAGATCTTTGACCTCCAGCATTTAGTTGCAGTACTTGGCACACAGAAAAGAATAAGTATATATTAAAGGAATGATTGTCACATGTGACCTTAAGTGAATCATATATTTTTTAAGTCTGTAAGATTTTATAGAATTGTTGTGATGATGAAATAATGAATGCAACTTGTAGATTATAGATTCTAATGTTAATGCGCTTATTCTCATCTTTTCCAGTCAAATTCATCTCAATGTTTCTAGGTAGCTCTGTCCAAGAGAAGTACAATGCAAGCCACAATTATAAAATTTAAACATTTTAGTAGCCATATTAAAAAGTTAAAAGAAGTACATAAAATTAATTTTACTAAGTTTTAACCCAATACATGCAAAATACTGCTTATTATCTATTTTACGTATTGTTAGTGAAGTACACACATCGAGAGTTCAGCAGCCGCATGTGCTTTGCTAGTGGCTCCTGCAAATTGGACAATGCAGCTGCAAGGCCTGTGGTCTCCGAGAAGTCCCCCTGACCACCCGCATTAGGAGTCAGTGACTTCTCGGTGCTCTCTCGAGCCCTATATCCTTGTTATCTTGAAACCTGTAAGGTAAGCTCCGTGAGGAATTCCAGACTCTCAAAATCGCTCTCACAGCGACTGTCTGCCATATGACGAGGTTATGAAATGTCGAGGTAGTCGATGAACCCGTGTGCGAAGAACCCCGCAGGAGACCGAACGGCCTGGGCGGAAAATGGCCAGCCAGGGAGCGGGCGCGAGCCAGAGGCCAAGGCGGGCCAGGACCGTGGCACCGGGGCCTGAGGCGACCCTGGGGTGGCGTCCCCGGGTGGCCGGCAGCGGGCGCCTAAGTCCGGGGCCCCCCTCCCACTGCCCGCCCCGCCGCAGCCGCGGCCGCCGAGCCCCGGAAGCGGGCGGGGATTTCCTGTGCCCGCCCCGCCCGCGCCCGCCGGGCCGCCGTCTGCGCCTGTAGCTGGCTCCGCGGCAGCCGGCTCCGCCGCGACGAAGGGCGGAGGGGAGGGGCAGGCGGAGCCCTGGAGGGAGGCACCGGGCCGTAGGCCAAGCCGACCGGGGTGAGTGGGGACGGGCAGGAGGGAGTCCCGGCTGGAGGGAGGGACGCCCCGCTTCCTGGGGCGGCGGGTGGGGGCCGGGTCGCCCGTGAGGGCGCGGAGGAAAACCGACGCGGCCTCCAGGTGGAAGCCTTTCCCTGGGGTCGGCCCCACTGACATTTTTGCCCGCCCCTTCGCTCGGTCTGCCTCGTCCCCGTCGTGGCTGCCAGCCCTGTGGGTTTCCGCCGCTGTCACTCGCGCACAGGTTACCCCATGGCCCCTTTCTCTTCACTTGCTCTTGCCCCAGTTCACGGGAAACCTGTTTTCTGACCCCACTTCCCCCGCTCCAGCTCTGCCTGTCTCGAATACTCTGAAATCTGACCCTTTCCAGGGCACTGTGACCAGAAGGAGGGAAGAAGCAACCCGACTCCGCAGCAGGCGTCCATCCGGCCCACGCCCCACCCGGGGCAGGGGCCAGGCCCCTCTGACCGAGCGCCACTGCCGCTGTGCCCTTGGGCTACTCCTTTCAATACCATGGCCCTTTCTCTGTCCTGCAGCACTGGCTGCAAAAACTAACTTCGGCAGGTGCTTGCTCCTCATCTCCCAGATATGTGAGGAAGAGAAGGATAAGAAAGCCCTAGAACCCGATTCCAGTAGGCCTGGGATTATCCTGCCACCAGGAGAGAAACCAGGTTAGGGCTGACACCTTAACTGCCCAGGTGCTGGCTCTGAGAGAGCAAACATCTTAGGAGATGCAGTCTGGGGATAGGCACCAACCCCTCCCTGTGCTGAGATTTTTTTGCCAGCACTTCCACAGGTTTTGTGTCAGTTGTCTGGAGAGGCTGACAGCTGGCCCAGTGGGTTCTGCGGAGACAGGCCTCCCATCGAGGGACTCTGCTGCTGGGGAGGTGGAGAAATGGGTTTGAGACAGGTGTCCAGATATTTAGCTACAGGTAGAGTCCTGAGGAGGACTTGTGAAAGAAGTTAGAGAACAAGGAAGACTTCTGGTGAAGAGGGAGAATTGGTGCCTTTTATTTTAAAAGTGAAGTGAATATGAGGCTGGAATTCAGAGGATAGAACCAAAATGGAAGTTTCCCTTTCTTGCTTTATTAGGAATTTTACTTTCTCGTGAGAAGTCTCTGAAAATGAAACCCCCTAAACTGGGAATCAGTCCAGGATGCTCCTGTGGGGCCCTGGGGCATCTTTGGACTTCTGAGATGAAAGAGGAATTTGTTCCCTTCCTGTGCATTGAGCTTAGGGCTCCCATCTACCTCTTTGTCCAAGAGAAATGAACAACTTTATATCTGTTATTACCCATCCTGGGCTTCTGGGTTCCTGCAGCTGTTGTTGGGTGAATGTGAGTGAACGAGAATAGTTACCAAGGTTCTGCCAAGGAGAAAGGGACTCTGCGCCATCTCATAGACTGTTTGTCTGCCATAAGGCAGCAAGGCTCCTATCACAACACAGGTGGGACCTGTGCTGCTTTTAAGATGTCCAGAGGAATGAAGAGCTCATAAACCCAGTCCTGTGCACTGCCAGATTATTGTTAAGAATTTTTTTCATTTAACCTAAACCTCTTGTAGTCAAAAGAAGAGATCTACATAAAGATAGAAAACATTGTTCTTTTTACTCATTGGTAGTGTCATTCATCAGCCTTCCTTAGACAAGATGAAACTGTCCATCGTTTTTAACTTTTCCCCAATGGCCAGATTTCCCACCCTTTTCTTCCAAGGAAGAAACAGAAGTTCTCTTGACACACACACTCCATTGGCTGGCACTTCTACCCATAGTAATCACTCCATTCCAAATCAATCAATGCGGATGGAAGTTGTAGCAGAAAATCTATGTGATTATATCCATTTTTGTTGGGTGTTCTGTGCACTCCTTCTTGCATTTTTCCAGGTTGCCTCTTTTACTGTATTTTCAGTGGCTGGAATGAATCGATAGCTTTTGAATCTCCAGGATTGTTCCTTTTCTTTTTTTTAAATGAAGTTCTTCCAGCCTCTAGAGATATTCTATTTCTACCATGAGGTTACCAAAATGACCATTAGTGATTTTGCTTTGTAGCACCTGCTTACTTCTTAGTTCCTCCAAGAGGCTTGGCTCAGGCTCCATTGATTGGAATACATCAAGCTTTTTAAATTCATCTTCCATCACGCTCCTCTTATCCAGTTTCCCTCAGCTGTTCTCCCAACTCCCTTAGGAGTATCAGCCCTTTCCACTTTCATGGGAATAGCTAATATGAATTTGTTCCAGGTCACAATTTGGGTTTGCAGCAAAAATGCTTTCGGAACAGACAGCAGCCCTGGGGACAGGATGGGAGTCAATGCATGTCCAGCTGGATGGAGCAGAGCCCCACATGGAAAGGGGAAGCCAAGAAGAGGGGCTATGGAGAACAGCACCAGGGCCACTGGAACACCTGTGCTGTGACCTTGAAGAAGAGCCACAGTCCCTTCAGGAAAAGGGTGAGAGCCTGGAGGGTGTGTGTATGGGAAGCACGGTGCTTAGAGTAGCCTCCTAATCTCTGTTCAAAGAGTAGAATCTAAAATCCCCAAATTGCTGCAGACTGAACAACATAATGAATACCAGAACTAGTCCATTCTCCTTGATCCTGGTCATAGGAACATAAGGAGCTCCTGGATTCTGCAAACCATGTAACTGGGCTCCTCCCGCTTCTTGCATAATCACTCCCTCTGGATGCTGCAAGTGCATCTTAGTGGTATTGAATATGGGAGACTAAGGAAGTCTGCACTGATTACTGGTGGAGAACACACCCAGTAAGATGCTTTTTACATGAAGAAAATTACATTCATATAATATAAATTCAAACCACAGCTAGTCTAATAGAAATGGATGACAGAAAAGCTCTACTAAAAACTACTCAATACATTTACAGAACATTTTGAGTGAAGGTCTCTTCTACCATATTTCTGCATTTGAGTTTTACCAGTGGGCATAGATATAGGAAAAACTGCGACCCTTAAGCCCTGCTAAAATGGGGTCCAGGCTCTTACTGGGAAAGGATGGATGGTACACCTCTAATGGTTCCTTCCTCCCCTCACCAGCTCAGTCGGCTCCCTGGGCTCCCGCCATTCCCCAGGAGGGGAGCACCGGAGATTGGGAGATGGCAGCTGCACTTCTTGCAGCCGGATCACAGGTGGGCTGTGTGCTTTCTTTCGCCTCTCCCAGGGTCTCATCACCGCTGCCTTTCTATAGCCTCACCTCGTCCCACTGATTGATTATTTTACATGGTCACTAATAGTGTGTTCATCTTATCACTGAACAGATTCTGTACCTTTCCAAGGGCCTCATAATACCCTTAAAAAAATGAATGGAGGCATAACAAGAAGAGGGGAATTCCTAAAAGTTAGGTTTGTTTTTTTAATAGATGGCTGTGCTATCCATAGGGGAATTTTTAGAACAATTCATTAATATTCTTTAAAAAATAAATCTCTAAAGATTAGGAAAAGAGAACTTGAAGGAAGCTTGGAAGAGCATTAAGTAGACAGGATTGGGTGGATGGTAGGACATTTATGGAAAAGGACAGGAAGAGATTAAGGTACTTGTGTAAGGCCATAATGTTAATAAATAGCAGAGCTAGGAATCCTTTGGCTCCAGAATCTGGACTCCTAAACACCATACTGTGCTGCTGCAGAAGATAAGGGATAGGGGAGAATGTTTTATCTATATCTTTTGTGCTGATAGAAAAGGAATGGTCAAGTGGGGGAAGGAGGAGGTAGCACATCATTTCTTCAGTGCAAATAATAATGGAGAAGAGCCTGGGCAGACACCTGTCATTGAACAGAGGGAGCAACGAGTTTCTGGTGTCTGACTTCTTCTGGTCCCACTTGAGAAGCTTCTCTAGAGGCACTGTCCTCACTCACTCACTGACCATTACCCCTCTCCTCATTTTCCCTTCCCCCAAACTGTGTGCCCTACCCAGGAACGTCTGGGCAATTCTTTTTCTAGATCTTCTCTTGCCTTCTCTCTTTCACTTCCTCAGCCTTTTATATTTGGATCACATTTTCTTAAGGAATAGCTGGCGAGAGATGATGGTATATTTTGTTTCAGGGCTTGGTAACCATCAAGGATGTGTCACTGTGCTTCTCTCAGGAGGAGTGGCGGAGCCTGGACCCTTCTCAGACAGACTTTTATGGAGAATATGTCATGCAGGAAAACTGTGGGATAGTGGTCTCTCTAAGTAAGAATGACCTTCACCAGCCTCTGAAAGATTATACTGTGGGAGGATGGAGCCATGTGCTCTGGGGCTATTAGATAGTGTCTGTCTAGCATTCTTTCCTTGTCAGGCAATCTGTCCTTTCACCAGAGAAAGAGCAGTAGGGCTAATCCAGAGAGAATGAAAGTGAGCTATTATTTTTTAAAGACAACAGCAAAATAATGCTAAATTACGAAGAATTTTAGGCTCTTTGGGAATTGGCAGGTTCTTACAAAGCAGAGAGAAGGACATCTAAGAGATGGAACTGAGTCCTTGGAAACTCAAACTGTCTAGGGAAAGGTGGGAGGGGTGGGGGTGGGGGGACCAGCTGCATTGGAGCTAATTAAATGAAGTTATGACCAAAAAGGTCAGCTGAGCTGGAAGTATTTGAAATATAAATGGGAGAGAACACACACATTGAGGAAGAGGGAGTGATTTTCTAGAAAAAAGAAGGACTTAAGAAATGGGAGGAGAAAAGGAGGGAAGGGCCTATATCTGACCTTCTTTTATCTTGAGTTCTAAGGAATAGTATAGGAAATAGCTTTTTTTTTTTTTTCCAGAAATGTAAAATTACCGTTGTACTAATTGGCATCCCTATTTCCCTTTCCCATGGACAGGATTTCCAATTCCAAAGCTGGACATGCTTTCTCAACTAGAAGGAGGGGAAGAACAATGGGTCCCTGACCCACAGGACTTAGAAGAGAGGGACATCCTGAGAGTCACATATACAGGTAAGATCCCAAAGTGGACTTTCAGCCACAGCCTTCGCCCCTCTTGGAATGTCATCATTATACATCCCTCTAGTCCTTCCTCTGCCTCAGAGAGTCACAGAGTTGAAAGGTTTAGAGATCATTTTCTTCAAAAAGCAAAACAGCATAGCAGTATGGTATGGAGGGGAGGCTCTGGAGCCAAACTTTGTGGATTTGAATTCAGGACCATACCTTTGGGACCATAGAAAAGTAGTAATTAACCTCTGTTTGAGTTCCCCATCTGTAAACTGTTGCGAGATTTAAATATCTCAACATGGCAGAATAGCAGCAGACACATGATAAGCATGCAGTAAACATTAGCTGTTGTTGTTGTTACTGTTGGTGTCGTTGTTGTTCAACTTCCCACCTATTGCAGAAACGCCTTCCACAGCGTCTCCAGTATTGCAGACAGGTGGCCAGCCGGCCAGAACGGTGGCAGCACATTCCTTAACTCTCTCCGTTTATACTTAGGCAGGAAGATGGTGATTAATAGTAAAATAAAGTGGTAAATAAATAACAGTAATAAATAATCACAATAGCATAGACCATTTATTTACTAAGTGCTTACCAAGTGCAGGTACTATGCTATCTATCTTATAATTATTTCCGTTTTACAGAAGAAGAAATGAAGACTAACAGAAATTAAGTAGGACAGCTGAGATTTAAAATGAGGTAGCCTGTCTCCTAAGCCTAGGCTTTTAACTTCTACACCTCTTGCACTGTCTTGCGCGACATTAAAATCTGTTCTCTCAGCCCTTGTTGGGTGAGGTTTAGACCCTAACAGCATCATCCAACCTCACCTGTGACTTGGGTCCTGAGGTACTCTCTGGTGACTCCCCTCTTGGGGTCGGTATTTCCCCTTCTCCACAGGAGATGGAAGTGAGCATGAGGGGGATACCCCTGAACTAGAAGCAGAACCTCCCAGAATGTTATCTAGTGTGTCTGAAGATACTGTTCTCTGGAACCCGGAGCAGGATGAGAGCTGGGATTCCATGCCCAGAAACTCCAGAGGAATGCCCCTAGGCCCACCTTTTCTTCAGGAAGATAGCTTCTCAAGTCTTCTGAGTAGCACAGAGATGGACTCCCTGTTAAGACCGCACACATGTCCCCAATGTGGGAAACAGTTTGTGTGGGGCTCCCACCTTGCCAGGCACCAGCAGACTCACACTGGGGAGAGGCCCTACAGCTGCCTCAAGTGTGAGAAGAGCTTTGGACGAAGACACCACCTGATCCGGCACCAGAAAACCCACCTACATGACAAGCCCAGCAGGTGCTCTGAGTGTGGCAAGAATTTCCGATGCAACTCCCATCTGGCCAGCCACCAGAGAGTGCACGCAGAAGGCAAATCCTGCAAAAGCCAAGAGGTTGGAGAGAGCCCTGGGGCTAGGAAGCGGCAGCGTGCCCCACCGGTGCCAAAGTGCCACGTGTGCACTGAGTGTGGGAAGAGCTTTGGCCGACGGCACCACCTGGTGAGACACTGGCTGACCCACACCGGGGAGAAGCCCTTCCAGTGCCCTCGCTGTGAGAAGAGCTTTGGCCGGAAACACCACCTGGACAGGCACCTGCTGACCCACCAGGGACAAAGTCCCCGGAGCAGCTGGGACAGAGGGACATCTGTCTTTTGAAGCCTGTTTCTGCTATAGCTGTGCTCACATCTATCAGCTGGTGCTACCAGGAGTCTCTGCCAGAGCTGCCCCTCTCCTGTCCACAGTGGCCAGGATCCTTGGCCTTACCCCTAAAGATGAAGTTCCAGCATTGGTGAGAGCATTTCTCACCAGTTCTGTGAGATACCACATAAAATAGTTCTTTGGGCAAAACTTTTGGGAAACAGTGCTTACTACACGGGCTGAAATTCAGCCTGAGCCGTTCTCAAGGGTAGTGGTACCAGTGTTTATGGCTGAGGTCCATTCTGATTGGTTGGAGCCTGTGCCATACCAGTTGTTAAATATTTCGAGTATCACCATTGTATATCATGACTGTTATATTCTCTTTATATATATGTCTATATATGTGTATATATATGGAGAGAGAGAAAGACCATGTTGGCATATTAAAGGCTCTGAAAATTTACGCAGTAGAGCAAATTGTTAAGCCTCTTAATGCAGTGTTTCCTAACTGTATTTGACCTCATTTTTCTTTCTGTCTTACATCCCACAGAACTGGTGACTCCATGAAACACTCTAGTGAACACTGGGTTAGAGTAATGAGGAAAAAGGAAAGAGCCCCCATATGTTATCCAAATGAAAGCCGAGGGGCAGATCTCATTCCTGTGCAGGTCCATCACCCTCACCTCAGTCATCCAAATATGCATACATCCACACCTCTCATCTCACCTGCCGAAGAATAGAAACAACAACTTTTCACCCCTTATTTCTACTCCCTTATCCTGCACACACATATGTCCAGCTGAGAGATCATACTAACATGCTAAGAGATGGACCTTACATACCCCCAAGTAATCCAGACTCACAGAAGAAAAAAACTTTATCCCCTGGGACAGTCCCCTCTTCTCTTGATTGTGTCTTTATGTGTCTGTGTGTGTATCTGTGTACAGGGTTTTTGAAGAGAGCATGCAAAGTACAAACTGTAAAGGCTAAATTTTCTAGGGGTTGTGTTCTGTTCTGGTGTTGAGGGTAGTGGGGATTGTATAGGGTTTTTATTTTGTTTCAAGATAGGAAGTAAGCAGAGCGCTTAAGAGAACCTTAGTGGAACGAGTTAAGTGATGGCTTATGTTGTGGGAGTTGAAGTATAAAGCCTTCTTGAATGTCACTGAGATCAAGACAACTGAATATATATGTTTAGGTCTGAATCTTTGGCCCACAGGTTCTTTTTGCTTGGGTAGAGACAGCAAGAAACATCCTCCATGAGGTGAGCTGTTCTTGTTGATTTCAAGCAAGATGCATCTAGAGCTCTGTGCTTAGTGGGTTTTGTTTGTTTTTGGTCTTGTTTTAAGTGCTAGGAAACTGGGACAGGAATCACAGTGCTTACAGGTTGTTGTCATTACTCTTGTTTGACCTTGATTGCCTCAACAAGGTGGCAGCGTTTTTCTTGAAGATCTCATCTTCCCAGAAACAGAACTTTGGGAGAGATGGCTGTGGTTTAGCTTTTCAGCTGATAGGAGGTAATGAGCTTTCCATTTGGTTTTTCTCACAATTCTGGGAACGTGTACACACTAAGAGTCTTAACTCCAGGACTTGCATAAGTATTCTAGCATCTGTTAGTTGGTGAGTTGGTTGTTGTTCCTCTTTATTGATGATGTATTAGTACTGATCTTATAATTTAAAAATTATCTTAGCAGTTTGGAGTTAGGGAGGGAGAGGAGCAAAGGTGAAAGTAGATATTTTCTCTTTAACTCTTAGATTCTGGTTTTTCCTCAACACACTAATTTTTCAACTATGGTTGGTGAAATTAGCCAGAGAGGTAAGAAGGAAGTGAATGGAAACAATCTAGTCTAATAGGAATTTGGTTAGGAAAAACGGGGTGAACCATAGCTCCTCAGAGTCCTGGACCCAAATGGAGCTAAAAATAGGGTCACTTTGCTGAATGGGCTTCTTAGAATGGCTATGACTTGATCACCACAGTCCCTGCCATCCTTCTGCATCCAAAGCAATCTTCCATCTTTGGAATGCACTTCTCCTGTATATGTTCCTATGAATAGAGCAAAATGGCCAACCCTTTGCAGGGCAGCCTTGTCCCAGGTCCTCAGTGGTAAGAGACAGGACCATTTTAGGGTTAGGAGATGCCCCAAGGAATAGGAAAGTATGACATTCCAGTGGTAAAACTGGACTATGCCATTTCTTTTACCCTCCCTCTATGCCTCATTCATTCATGCCAATCAGCTCTATTAAGCAATGGTTCAGAACTTGTTTTGGATCACAGACCCTTTTGAGAATCTGATAAAAATCAGGAACTCGTTTTTGGAAAAAAGAAAAAAACATTAGCAATTCGCTCAGTTTTTCATACACATTTAGCAGGCTGGGTCCAAGAAGGGGAGTTGCCCCAACCCAGTATGGTCATTAGGTAGGTATTTGTGTCAAGAATTACAAGGCAAGGGTCACCAAGTAGTTTAATGAATATGTTACCAGAGGCAGTATGGTATAAAGAAGATAGGTTCTGGTCTTTAATGACCAGAGGGTATTGCTTACAGTCTGGTTTATGTTTTTTTTAAAGTTATGCTGACAAATCCAGCTCCTCACAAACTTTGTTTTAAAGTTTTGTAGGCGGTGACTCCATACTCGCAGATCACACCTCTTAATAATCAGATGTTAACCTCCAGCCTTTGATCTGTTTTAATAATTCTAAGGACAGGAAGTGAAGCCCCTAGGTGTAGGTGCTGTCACAGCGCACAACTGACGGCACAAGGGCCTTCTACAGAAGGGGCATCCCTTTAGGGCATTTCTGGTGTACCACTATCTTCTCTACCTCGATCCAACACCACTTCCCTTGGATAAAAAATAAAATACACAACAGCCATTGTGGGTGAATAGATTTGAATGATTTTCCTACAGGGATTCAGCTTCAAACTCTCATCTTTCTCCCAACTCCCTCTGCCACATGTCCATCCTAACTGCTTTAAATAAAAAATGTCTCTGTGTTCTCTCTGGGCAAAACGGGAAATAGAGAAATCCCATATAAGGAACCTGTCGCCTTTCTCCCCTTTGTGGAGCCTCTGCTCTATTCAGGGCCCAAGTATCTTCTTTTCATCCCATCAAAGTATCTCTATAAAGAATCCCTTAAACAGGAGAATGTGACCCAAAGTGCTAGCTTTACACAGATCTGTCTACATTTTAAGTGTTAGTTCTGATAGTCAAAGTGGAAGAAAAAGCTTTTCTCCTGTTAAAATTATGTTATTATGCCTGTAGGAAGCTGAAGGAGTGAGAATCTGGGACAAAATCCTTCCCTTCCCAGCACTCCTGCAATCAAGTCACTGTTTTCTATTTTTGTCAAGGACAAGGTGAGCCCTGACTCAGAACCACAGGTGCCAGACAATGGGTTCTTTCCATCTCTGTTTGCATGGGGGTGAGTGGGGCTGGACAATAACAGAAAAGTGAAGTCTATTTCCTTAGACCCCTTCAAGATCCTGAGCTGGCAAAATTTCTCTTCCACGTCGTCCTCTACTAGGCCCAGGCTCTCAAAATGTGTGGTCTTTGGACGAGCAGAATTAATATCACCTGAGAACCCATTTTAGAAATGCAAATTCTCAGGCTCTACCCCAGACAAATTGAATCAGAAACTCTGAGGGTGAAGCCCAACAGTCAGTCTTTTGACCTGCCTTCCTGGGTCTCTCAAGTATGCTAATGTTTGAGAATCACTGGCCTAGAGATTCAAATTCCATTTCAATCAGTGGTACCTCACCCTTTCCAAGTGGGGAGAGAGGGGATCTTTACACCTGTTATCAGATTGATTTTCTGCAACCTCTCTAGGCTAGTTGCTTTTTGGTTCTGTTCCTCTTGAGTCCCAAGGTCTTCCCTCTCTTCAGTCAGTGAAAGGACTGGCTCTGTCACCAGTTTCAGAAATCGGTGGGGCAACTACCAAGCTGCTGTGATTGATCGGAGCTAGAGCTTCTAAAATGGGGACTGAGGATTTGTGGGTCCAGAAATCTGAAAGGACAAAGAGGAGCAGACACATCAAAGAAGGGAAATCCAGCGTAAAACTAAAAAACTGACACCCAAGGAAATGGTCCTCCTTTGCTAGTTATGTGGTCCTTTTGCAGGCCTAATAGTTGCCCTGGAGGCAGGCAGGGTGGGCATTTAGCTCAGAGGTAGGGAGTAAAACCAACAGTTACAAGCCCTTAAGAACCCAAGTTTTCCAACCTCACGGTGCATTGGAGAACGATAAGGTGCTGTGCAAGGAATTTCTAACCATGGTTTGGCAACTGGAGCATTAGGGAACCCCTGGAACACAGGAGGGAACCAGGCTTATTTAGTGAGATGTGACTCGAGAGATTTGAACTCAGACTCTTGACTAGGTAGAAGTTGTAACCAATTAAGCCATGGCACCTATGTCAAAAATGCATTCTCCTACTTGGAAGATTCTCTCCAATTCATGCTTCAGGAAGGAATTGTTACCTCCTCCACCTCCTCTCTTAGGCACACCCAGGAAGACAGGTCAAAACGAAAGTTGCGAACCCACCACCCCTGTGGAGATCCTCAACGTCAAAACGTTACAGTGAATCGAAGTCTCTTTGGGAGAGGTGGTCAGCCCCTCTCTCCTAAGGCAGAAAAACATGGCTGCTGCTTTCTTCAGCCCCAGAGCTCAGGCTCTCTCCCTCTGTCCCTCCCTGTCACCACATCCACTTTCCCAATAAGAGGAGCTTTTCCTCCACTCTTAGCTCTTCTCTTTTTCAGTTTGATTGCTTTGGTTTGGTATTTTGTTTGTTTGGGAAACACCTGAGGGTGTTTGTTCTTCCCAATCCTCCTATCACAGTTCTCTCTCGTCCAGTTTTTTTTTGGTCAGCCTTAAGCCTACTAAGCAGGGTCCATTCCCTGTACTTCCCACTTTCCTTTCTCAAATTCTTGGCTAGAGCAGCTCGACTGCCATCTCACCATTCTCTCTCTCTCTCTCTCTCTCTCTCTCTCTCTCTCTCATCCGGACTTGGCCATGGCTGCTGGTATTGTCCTATTCAGGCCCTTTACTTCATTCCCTACAGGCTCCTCTTCCCTTGATGTAACTTCCAAAGTGGCTATTTATCACTATTTTGATATATTCAGTCCTTTCCTGCCTCTTGTGGCTCCTGAAAACTAGTCCCAATTCTACAAGCCATTTTTTGAGGACTAACTATGTGCCAGGCACTGGCTGTTCCAAGCCTGGGAAATTGTGACCACGGTTCCTATACTCAGCATGTCCCTCAGCCTAGCCCTCCCTGCCACTGCTTTCCTGCCATGCCTCCTGACACTGCGCCAAGGTGCTCTTTTCCAGGAAGCTGTGGGGAGGGGGGGTATAGTATGTCCACTTGCCATCCCGCCCAACTGTTCTGTGCCTGCCAGGTTTCTAGCAATTGTCTAACTTATTTCCCTCTGATGGACTTGAACTTCCCACAGGATACCCTACGGGGTACCTTTGTCTGTACCCTTAGGGATCTGTAATACACTCTTTATGGTCCCTGTCCGTTAAATAAAGGATGTATTGGCTGTGTCACTGATTTCCTCTCTTGGTCCTTTATTGTACCCCCCATTCTCAGCTCTTCAATCCTGGTAAAAAAAAGGCTGCAACAGAGTGGGGACATGAGACAGCTCTGGGGGAAGTCGTGCAGCCATGTGTGAGCCCCCTCACTGCCCCTCCTGAAACATAAACACTTAGACATTTAGACTGCTGAGTCTGGAGCCTGAGGTGGTGGTAGTGACTGCAAATTGATCCCCTAAGCAAATTCACAATAATTGGTGATTTGCGGGGAGCCGGCAGAGGTGCACACAGATGGGGTTCGGCAGGACCTGGGTCCATCAGACACATTCACTTTGGAAGGTGAAGAGGTTGGGCATCTGGCAGGTTATCAAGCATATAGAATAAGAAATTGTGTGGGAGAAAACATGGACAGCTGGCATGGGGAAACCACCAGCCTCTGACCCACTGGCATGGCCTTCCAGCTCTGGGGCTTCGCGGGGACAAGGAGAGGGAACCACTTTGCAGGCCTTGAGCACAGCCCAAAGGCTTTGTTTTTCCTCCACGGGAGTCGCCTTGCCGAGCTTTGAGCCTACTGCTTGGAGGTTGCTTGGCCTCTGCAGCTTTCCCAGCACCAGCCAGACTGTTTTGTCGCCTGTCTCTGCACTTCTTATGCTTTCCTGCTTTCTTGCAGTTCACACTCACCCCCACTAGTCACCTAGAGTAAAATTTGACCAGCCTGGTCTTTCCCCTAACTAAAAGGGGGAGGAAGGCAGGAATTGATAAAAGGGGGAGGAGAGACACAGCTGTGATAGTTCATGGAGGTGCCTGTGCTCTCAGGCAACTCCAGTGGACTGTGGAAAGCCTGACTTCCTCTTCCCACTGCCTTTCCCAGGCTCAGTCAAGGCCTCTTGCTGACCCTCCTCCCCCACCCCACACCCGCCCTGCCACCTCAGTCTTCAGTTTCTCTCTTCCAAGTCCTTTCCTGACATGGTGCCCCCATATTAATTTCCTAAACAACTCGTCTTCCTGTCTTTGCTAGGTGCTCAGGTTTTGGCTGGAGTGACCACCAGCCCAACCAGATAGCCTGGCCATGTTAGAATTCCCCAGAGGAGGAGAAAGAAGGGGAGAGCTCTATTGTTTTGAGAATATTGACAAATGGAAATGTTCACATGTTTGAAAACAGCCCCCTCCTGTGTGTTTCAAAACATCCTCCCCTACACAAAACCACTAAATCATTAAAATATTCAGTGTAGAAATAAATTCTAAACTTCTGACCTTTACCTACATAACAAAGATGCCTTGTAGAGTTAGAGTAGATGGTGAGGCCGTGTTCACCATCTATAGCTGTGGTGAAGAGAGCACTGGGAGTGCAGTTAAAAATCAATTTCTAAATTGTACATATTCTAAACATCAGCTTTTTCACTTAGGACCTAAGAGACTGAGGTGAAGGTGAAATGAAACTATGCAGGCAAAAGTACCAACCACCTTAGAAATGAAAAAGCTGTAATTGACAATTATGTGAAAATTTCTACCTTATTTTTCAGCAAGCCACAATGTATAGGATTCGGAAAACACAAAAAAGATATGGTAAAGAGTCTTATTCCTCTATCTTCTCTACAATTCTGATCACCTTACCCTGATGATAGAGAACCAATTTTTTGCATATCCTTCCAGAGTTTGTTTATACAAAGAGATGCATTGGTATATGTGTCTTGATTTTTTTTTACTTAAATGTATCTTGGGGAGCTTGTCATTACAATACGTAGAGAATCTCCCCTTTTTACAGCTGCATGCTATTTCACCAGAAGGAAGCTTCACACTTTAACCAATCTCCTCATGATATTCAGCTTATCTCCATTTTTTTTGGTTACTGGAATGCGGCCCTAAATACATTGAATATGAGTCTTTTCACGAATGCATTAACGCCTAAAAGATAAATTCTTAAGTGTGGTTTTGCAGTGTCAAAGGATATCTGCACTCGCAGTCTGGCAAGCCAGCTTCCTTCTGTGGGGTGGCAGAGCGCTCCACTCCCACTAACCTGGTGTGTGAGCGCCTGCTTCCCCCACAGCCTCACCAGTGGGGTAGGTTCTCAAACATTGTGGACTGATTAAAATGTCACCTTATCATTTTATGTGCATTTCTCATGAGTAAAATTGTACCTTTTTCATATTTTTAAAGACCACTTGTATTTCTGTTGATTTCTAAAACAACCATTGAATATTTGATGCTAGAGAGCATCCAAAGTTCATTATAAGTTTAACTTCCAACGATTTTCTGATCATCATTGTATACTAGGCAGTTGAGAAAAAGGGAAGCAGAGAATGGAGGTCACGGATGTTCCATTTGCTCTGACTAAAGTTAAATACCCAAATATGCCATTAGGATGTGAGTGATGAAAAGCGGGAATTGTGTTTTCCCCATCTTTATTCCCAGCAAAGGGAAGGCACTTAGTCATCATGAACACTAGTGATAAGATTAGCTGTTCTCAGGAATTCTTTCATAGAAGTACCCAGCTAGGATTATGGTCTACATAATCTGGGTAGCGTGCCAATCAGTGCAGGTCATTTCTTCTATTTTATAAAAGTACAGCCACCCTAAAGCTTATTAATGAAAAATAATCTGAAGTGACCATTGTTAGCTACAATGGGTCAGGGTCTGACAATAAATTTGGTAAGTTTACTAGTGAACAAAGTTTGCTTAAATGAAGAAATCATAATACAAACAAGTGTGGTGATTCTTAGGAAATCTAGAAAAACAAGTTGTTGCCAGTGTTCTTTCCATCCTATCTTAGAGCAAAAGGTTGCTAATTGTAGACCATCTGGTTCCTTAGGTAAAAGCCTCCAGCACTTTGAAGGGGCAATTCATGTGGCTGTCATGAGGGCATTTGATTTTGTTCTGTTTCTCACTGCCTCTTTTCAGATGGCTCCCTGTTCTTTTCAATTTTTATATCTCAATTACAGTTGACATTCAATATCATAATAGTCTTAGGTATGTAGCATAGTTGTTAGTCATATAATTTATGACGTGGTCCCCCCATAAATCTAGTACTGACCTGGCACCCTGTGTAGCTATTACAATATTATTGACTAGATTCCCTGCACTGTTCTCCACACCCCTGTGACTGTTTTGTAACTACCGACTTGTACTTCCTAACCTCTTTAGATGGCTCCCTATTCTGATTCTGATTCTGCTTGCTCCATCCTGCCACTCAGACAACATAAGAGCATGATGAACCTAATTACAGCAGGGGAAATTTTCCAGTTCAAATAGTCTATGGATGAGATACACTGTAAGCATTTTGTTATTACTCAGCTTTTCAAAGGCTTAAAGCAGTGATTCTTATTTAAGGTTATGAGAGGGTGAATATTAGCATCACTTCAGCTTTTTTTGTTGTTTTAAATACACATGCTCAGTTCATCCTTATAGAAGATATGCCTTTCCTGGGAAAAGCTTAGTCAGGCATACTCTGCAAAAGCTCTCCACGTGTGTTTAACACTTTCCCGCCTCCCACAATCACTCTCTTTTCAAAAATATAAAGCACCCCACCCCGGCCCTGCCTTGATGGCTCAGGAACATCGTCCTATACACCAAAGGTTGCAGGTTCATCCCCAGTCAAGGCACACACATAGGTTGTGGGTTCGATCCCTGGTCAGGGCACAAATGGGAGGCAGCTGATCAATGTCTCTCTCTCACATTGATGTTTTCTCCCCCCACTTCTAAAAAAACCAGTAAAAACATATCCTGGGGTGGGGGTAGGGGGGAAGCTCCTCCCATGTTCTTCCCTTTTCCCCACGCCTTTGGCTTCAGCTGCAAACAGCAAGTTGTTTCCCCGAATCAGCTACTCTGCTCTTTCCCTCCCCGGGATCATTGCCATGCACTGTCATGGCCTATGGCAGGAGAACGACTCCCAGGCCGTTCTGAACTCCTGTACTCAGAACTAAAAGGAATCATACATCTACTTCATGCTTGATATATAGTGCTCAGTGCATGTTGTTTATTAAGCAAAAGAACTAGCTATTCGTTACCTAACCTCCCCCCATCTCCTTATATTTGTTATACATTTTGTAACTCTTAGTAGTTTAGGAGTTGGCACTTTCCCAGTCAAAAATTCCCTTATTGAATTTTGTCAATCAAAGTATGTGTAATGTTTAAATCCCTCTTATTATTTTACTGACACTTAAAATAAAAAATCATCCTAGTCCAATCCTAATACTTTACAGAGAAGGAAACCAAGACCATGAATAGTTAAATGATAATTCAGCCAAGTTCAGAGTGGCAGAACTTCTGTTAGAATCCTTGTCCCATTAACTGCTGATCCAGTAGTTTGCTGCTACAGCACATCATCACTCTATCGGGAGTTATTTACACTCATTTAAGTCTCAGTGATGAGCACCTCTAACTCAGGCCAAACCCTGTGCTAGATTCTTCTTTACACACTCTCATTTAACTGAGGATTAACATATACATCATTTTCAAAATTATCAAGTCAGGGCAAAAACTAGAAAGGCATTACAGTCAATTCTGGGAGAAGGAACTTTTTCCTGAAAGGAATTTAGGTAAGAATACTTTGGGTCCGTGGGGCCACTCAAAGGCAGTCTAATCTTCTCTTGCCCCAATGATGCCCCTACTTCTCACCTTACACGCCCTCTCCCCCAAACAGAATTTGGATTTGCTAGGGTATGTGACATTAATTCAATGCTTCTGCCTAATCCCTCGAAATTGCTTTTTTTCCTTCTGCTTTCTTCTGAAAGGCATTTTCCTGGGTCCTGTAGCAAGAACAGAATCTCGACTCCTTTTTCTCTTTTCACCCCACAGGACCCTGCTACAGGGCTTCCCCTCAACAATCCCTCCCCCACGGCCTTCCCCAAGTGGACAAAGAGAAAACAGACACAATTGTGGTGATTTGAAAGGTCTTGTGAATAGCTTGTCCGTTTCAATGAGTGTGAGAGCGGCTCTAATTGAAGTCATATGAGGAAGGGCATCTATGCCCGGAGGAGGGGAAGTTGCTCCCACACTAAGGATTCCCAGCTGCATTCCGAGGGCTTTCAGGTTTAGTGGAAGTCTTCGTGCGAGCAGCCCTTGAGATAGTTTTAACTGAAGGTGACCTCTGGATGGTCCGTTTTACCGGCTTCTCGGAGTCCTGCGTCTTCTCTTCCCTTGGCCTCTTGTTGTCTCGTGTCCTAGGCTTGTCTTCCTTCGTGGTCTGTCCTTTCCCTCCGGCAGTCACCTTGGTCCTCCTTTCCTCCTTGGCTCTGGAACGCCCCGGGTTCTTGGGTCTTGGCCTTGACTTCTTCAAGGCAGTCTCTGCCCTTGCATTCCGTCTCCATTCTTGCCTGGCCTTCTTGGCTGCCATGCGACGCACACGGCGCTTCCGTGGGACCCGCGGCCCCACAGGGGTCCTCCTTGGGGACCCGGTGCCCTCCTCCAACCGCGGGCGTCCTGGCTTTCTCTTGGGCTTCGGAATCTTCCAGACCCTGAAATAGCCAGAGCCGTTGCTGCTGCTGATCCTCATGAGTGTGCCCTTAAAATCAGACTTGGGCACTTCGCCAGAGCGGCGGCACCACTTCCTGCGCATTTGGTAGCCAGCTTGTCCCAGCTCCTTCTTGAGAGTGGCCAGAGGCAGCCCCTTGTGCGAGGTGATGGAGGTGATGGCTCTGAGCAACACCTCGGACACTCTAAGCGAGAAGCGCGAGTCCTGCTTCAGTGGTGCCCTGAAGATTTTTTCAGTGGGTTGCTTGGTTTTAACTTCAGCACCTTGGGATTCGCCACTTGGCTCGGTCGCCTCAGCCAAGGCCTTGGCCACCTCAGCCATGGCCCCTCTCTGCCTTCTGCCTCCGCAGTGCTACTGATTTGGGGATTCACCTAACGAGGAATGAGCTAGCACTGAGGCTGGCTGGGCCACATCATAGAGGCAGGGCCACGTCACAGAGGCGGGGCCACGTCACCAAGGTAGGCCCAGCGGATAGATTCAGGTCCTAGTGAGAGGGCTGGCAGATCCCTCCTAGATGGGGATGATGATGATGATGATGATGATGATGATGATTTTACTCCTAATAAACTACCACTTCCTTCCAGGTCTAAACCAATCCAGATCTTCCAGGCCAATGAAGAATCTCCTTTATAATCTTCCAGGTTTTGTTTCCTGCTTTTATGCTCACACTTCTCACTGATCTTGAGCTCAACCACTTTTTGAAGTTCACTAGTTTTCTGTGAAAAATAGTGCATACCATCTACCCACATTTCCCTAAGGGGAGAGATGCTGCTTTCAACTATCCCAAACAGCCATAGGATGCCTTTAAAAAGTAAATGTGGTAGTCTGTTAGATACGGCCCAGCCCAGAAATGCCCACTTTTAGCTACTGTGAGTTAGGTGTCCACAGCATGTCTCCCTGTCGCCCTGCAAAGGAGGGAAGCCATGTGGTTCCTCTACCCTAAACAATAATCCCCACACCTAGGAAGTCCAGATGTTTCATTCCGTTGGATTGGAACAATCAGATTCCAAATAGCCTAAGAACACTCGTCTAATCATTATTCTTTGAACAGACTTCATGCTCTTCTCCCTCTAGTTCCTCTGGCATTGTCTATCCAGATAAATTCTGCTCATCATTCAAAGGCCTGCTAAATCCTTTCTTCACTGGAGCCTCACCAGACTCTTTCAGTCAAATGATTTCTCTCCTCTTAACCACCACAATTACTCTTGCAGTCCTATACTCCTTTTCCTTTATTTTAAATTAATTTGGTATTCAAGGGTACAGTGTACCACAATATTTTTAAAAAGAAAAAAAATCTGGACATGGAGCTGGAAAACATGAATACATATTCTAGCTCTTTAACAGCCACGTGACATTGATACATCTCTTAATACCTTTGGATCTGACTTCGAAGAAGAAGAAAAAAAAAAAGCCAGTAGTCCCTTCCTGCCAACATCACAGAATTATTGCAAAGGCTCAGAAAGTCTACCCAGATATAAGACATAAAATTGTTTTACTCTGTTTGTGTCTTTTCAACTAAATGAAAAGGTCCCTGAGAGCCAGATAGTCTTGGAATTTCTATGCCCCATCCCATACCTAACACTATCTTTCATTATACATAGAAGGCATTTGACTGAGTCTGCTTAAACTCCTCCCTGGTGAGGAGGCTTTCTCTGGATTCAGGAGACTCACAGGAAATCCTGAGAAAGAAGCGGGATACATTTCAAAGAGTTGGAAATGAAGGGACTGAAGAGACTACTTGCTCACGGACCTCTTATTTTAGACAGAATTTAAATGGGAATAACTCAAAGAATACTTCATATTGCAAAGCATATCATACTTTTCCAGAGTCATATCATAGACTCAGTCAACTGTGATATAGTTTCTTCTAGGAATCAAAGCACTTCTTAAGCATAAAAGTGCACTTCGTAAAGTACAAATTCTAATAATTAGGTCTGGGATGGGGCCAAAAGTTGTAAGTTGTATCTCTAACAAACTCCCAGGTAATCCCATCTGGTTAAAATATGTGTTGGGTGGTAGGGGGGAGAGTATACAATGAGAAGGGAAATGAGAGCAGAAAGGTGGCATAGGGCCCAGGTGTGAAGGACACATACCGTAATAATGACAGCTGTAAGTGGTAAAGTTTGTATTCAAACCAAAGTCTATTTAATTCTAAGGCCTGAGTTCTTAACAACAATACTGTGTGCCTGGTTTCCCTTTCTCCAAGATTGACCCTCCCCATCTTACATATCTCCATTATAAAGCAAGGGGAAGTTTATCTCCATAATCACAGCCCAAAATCAAGAGTGTTACTGTACCTTCTTCCAGTGTTATTTTTTAAATATATAATCTTTATTATATTTTTCCATTATCATTTAGTCCTCTTATACCCCCCTTCCCCCAGCAATCACCACACTGTTGTCCATGTCCATGAGTCCTTTTTCTTTTTTGCTCAATCCCTCCACCCCTTAACCTCCCCGCCACTAGCTGTCATCTGCTCTCCATCTATGAGTCTGTCTCTGTTTGCTTCTTAGTTCAGTTTGTTCATTTGGTTCCACATGAGTGAAATCATATGGCATTTGCCTTTCTCTGACTGGCTTATTGCACTTAACATAATGTTCTCTGGTCCATCAATACTGTCACAAAGGGTAAAATTTTCTTCTTTTCTACAGATGAGTAGAATTCTATTGTGTAAATATCCCATAGTTGTTTTATCCACTCATCTATTGATGGGCACTTGGGCTGCTTCCATACCCTGGCAATTGTAAATAACACTGCAATAAACATAGGGGTGCTTATGTTCTTTCAAATCAGTGTTTTGGGTTCCTTCAGATACAGTCTCAGAAGTGGAATTGCTAGGTCAAAAGACAGATCCATTTTTAATTTTTTGAGGTATCTCCACACTGCTTTCCACAGTGGCTGCAATAGTCTGCAATCCCACCAACAGTGCAAAAGTGTTCCCCTTTCTCCACATCCTCACCAGCACTCATTTTTTTTTTATTTACTGATGGTAGCCATTCTGACAGATGTGAGATGGTATCTCATTGTGGTTTTTATTTGCATTTCTCTGATCATTAGTAATGTTGAGCATCTTTTCATATGTCTATCAGCCATCTGTATGTCCTTTTTGGAGATGTGTCTATTCAGTTCCTTTGCCATTTTTTAATTGGGCTGTTTGTTTTTTTGGTGTTGAGTTTTGTAAGTACTTCATAAACTTTGAATGTCCCAGTGTTAAATCAGGGCAGAGTACTGTGAACCTGAGGCTCTCCAAGGGCAGGGGACTAACACATCAGCACACAGACAGTGCACGGTGGAAGAGTTGCCAGATGGAGAGTCAGAGCCACATGAAGCAGACTTTCTACCATTTGTGTAGTCTCTTGGTCTAGCTGTACTTCCTTGTTACATAGATCAGTGACTGCAGGATGGGGCAACCTCTAGAGGAAAGAAGAGAAAAAAATGTATGCTTTGAAAGTAGGAGGAAAGTAATTGAAATCTGACCTTCAGATCATCTGATTCCAGGTAAAAATAGGTGGAGGCACACAATGGTATCATCATGAAAGACAAGAACCAAGTCAAACAACCATGTTTATTAATGCCCCTGCGATCACAAAGGAGACCAGTTAGAAACCTCTGGGAAAGCCCGAAATGAAAGGAAAAGATATACAGGATTTGGCAGAAGTAAGGCCTGCTTGAATGTGGTTGGTAGGGTAATAATATGCGTGTAATAATGTATTGTTTTAATTTGAACATTTCACCTAAAATGTCATATGCTGTGCTTGAGTGTGCTGTTATTATGCTACAGAATTAATGCTTATGATTTTGTAATAAAAGATTTTGTAATAAAAAAGGGGTGTTATTTATGCTGGACCTTATATATAAAAAACATATCAGCCCTGGCTGGTGTGGCTCAGTGGATTGAATACTGGCCTGCAAACCAAAGGGTCACAGGTTTGATTCCCAGTCAGAGCACATGCCTGGGTTGTAGGCCAGGTCCCCAGTAGGGGATGCACGAGAGGTAACCACACATTGATGTTTCTCTCCCTCTCTCCCTTCCTTTCCTCCTCTCTAATAATAAATAAGTAAAATCTTTTTAAAAAAATAAAAAACACCTATGGCAAAAAAAGCAAACATTGTCATTTATATATAACCATTTATTTCTATATAAGTTTCTGTACAAATATGTTGTAAGTAATAGAGGAATAACAAAAATGAGAGGTAAGAAATAAATTCCCACTACTACTCAGCTGGCTTAGAGAATAAGAAATCCATCTGACACTTTTCATAGCACCAATCCCTTAGAGTTCTTTTCTTACTCTTTGGACTAAATCTACTTGCCAGCACTGTTCTCTTGATACCCCACAAGGAAAAAAAATACTTCAGAAAAAAAATTTATTTAGTAACAGAGTCAATATAAACCAGTATTTACCCCTAATTAGGAGACACTAACCCAAGCTCCAGAAAGACAACTATCCCTTCCAATTTGAATAGTCTTATATTATAAACCAGAAGTTATCACACAGAGAGGACATTACCCTGTTGTGAGAAAGAGCAACAGTCCCTAACTTCTGGACACCTTGTGGGTTAGGGATGGGGGTGGGGGTGTGTTGGGAGAGGATACTAGGGAATAATGGCTAGCTTAAAATCTTTCAAGTTCCAGAGCAAGATCCTTTTGTTCTCAGTTGGTAATAAGAATCTTCCTCTAGGCCTCTATGAAGTCTCTAGAGAAACTTGGTTAATTTAGACTTTAATTACTGTATTAAAATTTGAGAACATCAGAGATTTCAATTAATCTCACTCCCTCTTACAGAGTTACACAGCTCTAACTTCACTAAGGATAACTCCATGCCAGAGAGCAGCAAAAATCAGTAGCACACTTTGATCTAACCTCAATCTGTAACTCATTGCCCCTCCCTAATCCACATGCCTGGGATTCCAAGGCTTTTGGTCTTTCTGGCTCAATTACCTTGCAGTGAGTCAATTTACCTCTCTGCAGACTGAATAACAGAAACGTGTTCAACAATGTGTTACAACTTTCCCACTGACCTTAAACTGCTAGTTCTCTTTTCCAAAAAGGAACTTTTCTTCTCATTTTGTTTTATATTCTAAGACCTTTTTCTCCTCGTGAATTGTTATGTACCTTCCACTCTAATGTGAATGACCTCACAGGATTTATTTGAGCAAATAAGCCCACCAGTCCACTCATGGCTTCGGGGAAGACTACAGTGGTTCACAAAAAGGAATGCAAAAATAAAATAGCGAGATTCCTTAAAAACATGGAGACAGTCTGGGAATTGGGCATTTATCCTTTTACTCTTCAGCACAATTTTTTAGAAGTGAGGTCAGAGAAGCTAGATCCAGGTGATTACGCTGGATGACCAGGCATATCTCTCAGCAATGAGCCTGAAAATATGATGATCTGGTCCCCCTGTCTCCTCCCAAGATGCTCTATACCCTATATAACTCACTCTCCTCTATGCACCCCCCAAAAATGCCAACAAGAGAGAAATATGAACTTTATTATTACCAAAATCCCACCCAATTCCGTTTCTCACCCAAAGGTGTGTTATATAAATTAAAGCTCTCATCCACTCATTATTAATAGTCATGAGTCCAAGGACCATTCCACTACAGTCAGTTAAATCTCAAACTGAAAACCCATTTCTCTGAGGATTTATGCTTTTGGCATGAGCCTTGGGGCAACCCAAGACTCAGTTAGGCTGCAGGCCCACAGCAAACCTACGTTCTGGACATCAGTTTAATTTTGCTATAGTGATTCCCAGCCATCCATCCCCTGTCAAATTTCCAGAATATCATACAAATAAAGCCAAAGCAGAAACACAGAAAACTGCCGAGTAGCAGCCATTTACTATATACATGTAACTCCTTTTGCAGTATGAGAATTAAAACATTCCAGACCTACATGCCCAATATGACATGCATGGTACTACAACTCCAATACAGAGAAACTTATTTATATCCTAATGTCTAAACACCTTAACTTTACAAAATCCAAATTCCCTAATTAAAAACTGCTTTCCACCAAATTAAGTGACTGTGGAAATAAATATTCACGCTAAAGAATACAACCAAGAGCAAGCCTTATTTGCACTCCCAATTCCCAGTGCACATTCTAGAATTACACTGCACAACTTCTCCCATTTTTTCCTTCAAAATTCCAGTTCTAAATATTTCAATTAAAAAAAACACCAGATTCTTCATTTCCTGGGAAAATCATTCTTAATTTTCAATTTTAACCCAAATTCTGCTCCCATGATTTTTCCTCAGGCTTGGATCCATCTAGGGAAAAAGAGCTACTTTTTATTCAAGCTCTACAAATCTGGCACTGCAGTTAAAATACCACCAGTTCTTTCAACAACACTGAAGAGTGGATAATGTTACTCATATTTACAGATGAGAAGGTAAATGGTATACAAAAGAGGAAGTTCAGAAGGAGAATTCTCTATACCTCACATTTAAACCCAGCAAAGATCCTCATTTTCCACCTTCCATCAGGAGAGGAAAAATTGCCACACCAGATCTTTTCCATATCATCTCACTAATCAAAGCTTTGAGCAAGAAATTCACATGGTCTTTTCTTTGCTATAATTTCTACCATAATAGCTATGTCAGTTATCAATTTATTGTCTCTCAGCTCCAAATTCAGCCTTTGTTGCCCGATATATGAAAATGGATCTGGGCCTTTTAAATATTTTCCCTTTTTCAGTTGATGTTATGCTAAACTTTGTCAGTAGATAGCTTTGGAGAGATATTGCAGAAGGAAAGAGTTATCTCCTCTGGTTCCAGTTTTCCTGGGCTTCCCCTTCCTCAGGTTCCCAGAGCAGAGGTTTGGAAAGCTGTGGCCGGTGGGCTAAATCCAACCTGTTGTCTGTTTTTGTGTGGCTTGTGGGCAGCTCTGAACTGGGCTAGCACTTTGAACTGCAGAGAACAAGACAGTATGTCCGCATTCAAAGTGTCCAATTTATGATCCAAAATTAATCAACATGCTAAATAGAAAACCTAAACAGCTCCCAAAAGAAAAGGCAAACAATAGATGCCAATCCCAGAATGACCTAAATGTCAGATTAACAAAGACTTTAAAGCAGCTATTATAAACATGCTCCAAAAAGTCAGGGCTGTTGAGATGAATGGAAAGACAGAAGTTTTCAAAAAAAAAAAAAAAAAAAAAGAAAAAGAAAACAGAAGTTATATTAAAAAAAATAAATTCTATAATGGAAAATTTTAATAACAGGAATTTTAAAATTCGTTGTAGAGCAGGGGTGTCAAACTCATCTTCACCGGGGGCCACATCAGCCTCACGGTTGCTTTCAAAGGGCCAAATGTAATTTCAACTCCTTAACAGTTAAGGAGTAGTTACATTTATACAGTCCTAAGATTATTTTGTGTA